TAATATAATAATATATATAATTATATGTATACTGTTTATGATATTAAAAATACATAAATTATATAAGTAAATAAATTAGCTTAATTAAATATATTTAAATAAATATTTTCATATTAATTCTATCTAATATATGAAGATAAAGTTTAATGAAGTTTGTATATATTTTTTTCTTATATATTTATATAATATTATTTTATTATTTTTATATTAAAGTCAATGTTATAGCAACTTACAAAAAAATATCTTAAAATGCACAGGATGTATATACAGGATATTTCTCAAATTGTCACACATTTATGATTTAATTCTTTACGTATTTTGACAACTTCAATTCGACAATTATTATTCTTATGTATATGTCTTTATATGTATGTTTCTTACATCATGTTTTTTAGATATTAACAACAGATTTGTAGATTATGTTGTAAGTATTAAATTATCTTGTAACTGAATAATTACATGATACAATGATGAATAAAAAGAATGATTACAATGCGACAAAAATAAATAACTATTAAGTGTACAACTTTGCTTCCGCCGTTTTTTTTCCGAAATTCGAGGCTTTATTGTAAATAACTGGTTATACATTTATGATTCAAAGTATTGTCCTTCGCTGGCCACTACTTTCTCCCATCTTTCGGGTAGCGTCCGAATCCCGCGTCGAAAAAACTGGTCATTTTTTGAGGCTATCCACGAATCGATCCACTTTTTTACTTCTTCATAAGACCGGAAGCTAGTCAGCCAGACCGTGTGCCATTGATCGAAACAAGTGATAGTCAGAGGGAGCAACAGCTGGAGAATACGGCGAGTGGGGTAGGGCTTCCCATTTCAACATTTCCAAGTATGTCTTGACCACTTTCGCAACATGGGATCGAGCATTGTCATGCTGCAAAATCCCTTTATCGTGTCTCTCGTTGTATTGCGGCCGTTTGTCTTTCAATGCTCGGCTCAAACGCATCAATTGCATTCGATACCGATCGCCTGTGATTGTTTCAGTCGGTTTTAATAGTTCATAATACATTACGCCGACCTGGTCCCACCAAATACAGAGCATGACCTTAGACGTCAAAATCACCGTTCTTGAAGCGTTGAAACCACTCACGACACGTTCTTTCACTAATAGCGGCCTCACTATAAGTATTTGAGAGCATTCGATGAGCCTCAGCCGCAGATTTCTTCATATTGAAACAAAAAATTAAAACCTCCCGCAAATAACTAGAATTTGGCTCGTAAACTGACATTTTCAATCGAGAATAACTTTATGATGCAGATACAAATCGATTAATGTTTCTATGAGGTTATGTTGACAGATGCCCAAGTTTATTGTATGACGTCTATGATCTATTTATTTCGACTTACCGCTAAAGCCATAGGAAAATGGCGGAAGCAAAGTCATCTAATAATTATGTTTTAATTACTTTTAAATAATGAAACAATAGTAAAATTATTTTAATATATAATATATAATAAAATATTTAATATATAATAAAAATTAAATAATTATACAAATAATAGAAACAATATAGTTAAAGAAAGACTACTCGTAGCTTGCGTTGTGTTTCATTAGTATTATTAGTATTATATGTATATTTCGAGATATTAGGATTCAATTTACCATCGAATTACAATAAAAGTTACAATAAAAGTTTATATTGATATTACATCGTTGACATATATTATTGAATTTTTCTATTGCGCTAATTCTTGAAATAACTAATTTAATTGAAAATATAAAAATAGATAAGCTGTATGTTGATAGATAATAACATGAATTCGACTGGTTTTTTTATCATATTTATGCTATATATTTAGAATTGAAATAATGTCTTTTGATATTTATAGATACATAATTATAATAGAAAAAATAAGTTATTATACAAATTTCTATTTCTTTTAAAACAAAAGTCTAACAAAACTATTGATCATAATAATGTTCATACATGCACTTTAATCAGTTCTGTTTCATTAAACAAACATTATCGTTAATGCAATAGTGATTGGTGTAGATGAAAACACCCACTACAGAATTGAACAATTTTAACGACGTAGAAAGAATTATGTTGCAGATTGTGTATATCTATAGTGAAATACTCAGTGATATTACGTGATAATATTGAGCTTATCATGTGTCAGAAAACTATTCAGTTAAATGTGTGGATAAGGTATTGTATTTGTAAATCTGGTGTGAATATAAGCGATTAATTACATATAATGTTCGGAACTATCGTTTTAATAATAAATAGCATAAATAGCATAAATAGCAATTTTTCGTAAGATTTATAATCCAAATATATTTATTTCATGAAATATTGATCCATTGAAAAATCTATATCTACACACAATTAGTATTTATATTAAGATATTATAACTAAAATTTAATGTTAACTTTATATTTATTTTTTAATATTCGTTACATAAAAACCTATCTATCTACGCAGAAAATACCATCTTTACTATGGTATTTTATCCAGTTTAGATAATCCGAGTTTTTAACGTATACACCTGGGATTCCAGGATCAGCGCATCCAATACCCCAAGAGACTATACCTGTTGAAATAATAACAAAGAAAATCCTACAGCTACTTATCCTATAGAAAATCTCAAAAGTGAATCATAAATTCTGTTCATAATTTATGATCGTTTTGCGAACTAATCTTTCTGATCGACAATTTATATTCAATTTGATAATATTCTTACCAATTATTTCATATTTCCCATTTATTCTTTGATATAAAAGAGGTCCACCACTATCACCCTGAAATTTTAATAATATTAATATCTTTTAAATGCATGTATATACATTTGTCGAAGAAATAGATGCGTTTAATGATTCCTTTTCTTATATTTATTCGTTTATAATTACTTGTGCAACATAAATTATCAAATAAATACAATAAAAGAAGCTTTATAGGAAATTAATATCTTTAATGATATATATGTATATATATTAAACAT